AAATGTATAAATTTAGAATTATTAGGATATCCTATTTTATCGTTATAATGTATTAATTTAATTTTAAAATAAATTAAATGTTATAAATAATGTTGTGTATTAGAAATCGTTACTGTATCTTCAAATATTAAATAATATAAATAATATCTTTGTTAACAGTATTCTATAATATTATGTTTATAATTTAAATATAAAGTATACGTTAACGATAATAATTTAATTTAATTGTATTTCAGTATTTTAAGCCAGATGGTGTTTCTCAAATTCTATTATTTATCTAAATAATGCCATTTATTTGTGATAATTAAAGATAGATTGAGTAAATATTTTAACAATTATTCATATGAATTAGTACTCAAATAGATAGTATAAAATTTCAACTCATTAATATTATTAAAGATAGAAAGTATTATTTTTTATTATTGTTGATTTCAGTGTAAAAGTTATAAAAAGAAAAAATATTAATACCACAAATAGTCAACTTAAGTAGAAGCACATTGACCTTCACTGATTTGTGCAATATTTGTGAAAGTAAAACAAAAACTAAAAGTTTTACCAAGTGTGTCATTTATTACACATATATAAATGAATGTACATATCTTTGGTTTAAAATAAAGAATAATTTACTTATTCTCGTATACCTAGCTATAGTTATTCATTTATTATTTTAAATGGGATCTGTGCTATTAAATATGTTATATATTACATGTAAAAGTAGAATTTATAAATCATTCATAAATAATATAATTGTGTATTTTAATGCTTGTATATGTAATATTGTTCTTATATTTATGAAAAACATGGAAATATTGGATTTCATTTGTTGAAGCATTTTCTTAATATTGAGAACTCTTATATTAAGAATTAATGTTAATAAATTTGTTAATAAAATAATAACATTTTATGTTAAATAAGGTAGTTTTTGTCTGGGTAACTATTGGTGTAAGAATAAGTGTCTTAGACAACAATCATTAACTAGTAAGTTTTCTCATTTCTTTAAATTATTTAAATTTTCAAAATATTTTAAAACCAAAATAAATGATTTTTATTAATATCATAACATTAATAACAATGAATAAAATATTTTTAAATAATTAGTTTTTATAAATATAAATGTAAAGTTAATATATTCAAATACAAAAGCACATTTGAGTTTTTTTCTTAATTTTTATAAGAAATGATCAATATGAATGTTTTTAAAATTTTTCCAATAAATAAAAATTCTATATTAGTAAATATTTCAACCTTATAAAAAAATTATTTATCATATTCCAAAGTAATTTAGAAAATGTTTATAAAATAAAATAAATAAGAATTATTCAATATTAATTATTAAAATTTTATTTTGAATTCTGCTTAATTTATACAACTATGTGTAAATTAAAAATGTTTAAGTCACTATTATTAAGTTACCATATTTCAATAATTAATATTACGAGTTCTATCTTTAATTTTTCATTGTCCACTTTGAAAATCCAACAACTTTTTTAGCATTGCGAATGAATGATTTAACTTCACATGATCTATCTGTTGCACTAAATACTAAAATTAATAATTTGGAATTTTTTATAAATATCAGCTTTTACATTAAACCATAAATTTTAGAAAAACATAACATATATTAAACTATTGTTAGAGTAATTTGCAATATTAATATTAATAAAAATATTGATTCTGTTAAAGAATTTTGTACAGTCTAGCATAAAGATACATGCAAATCAATATTAATTGATCACGATATTCCATAGAAACTTTTAATTGTAGATTTCAGTATAATTCATTAATTTAGTATTACTAATTTTACTAAAAAAAAATTTGTATTATAATTCTCTATTATATAAAATAAGAATTTTAAATTTTAAAATGTTTATTATTTGATAATATGAATTTGAAAGAAAATTACTTAATTATATAAATTACGATTTTCATTCATGTTGTGAACCAGATAAAATAATTTTTTCAAGTTAAAACATATTTTATTAAATCTATAAAATAAAGCATATATATAAAACACATACACGCGTACCCGTCTGTACATATAATTTTTTCTCATTTCTTTTAGTTAAATTAGTATAAAGGGACTTGATTAAAGAATTTGGCAATATAATTTATTTAGACATATTTATTTTAATAAATTGTTTAAAAAAAACTTTATTACTTACATATTACATACTTACATTAAAAGCTTTAATAGATTTAAATTAATGAATTAATTTATAAATCACTTTAAATAAAGATTTATTAATTTTTATATTAATTATATTTATTAATATACCGTTAAGTTCTCATAGTATTATATAAATATTATATATTTAATTCTAATTTAAAGAATATTTACAAAATTTGTCAAAGGACTATTAATAAGAACATCAATTTATTTTATTTAGACATATATATTTCGAGATATGGTACTAATAACCGTAAATAAAAATAGTTGCATGTACTTTAAAAGAAATATTGAAAGTAGATACAAATATTTACATATTTACACAAACAAATAATTTAGCTTAAAAATGTCATTCAAAAATTACTTTACAATCTGACTTGAAACTATGTTCATTATAATTAGTAAAAATATTACAGTTAGTATATATTTAATAATTTATTAAATACTTTATTACAGTATTTTGTATCTTCTATACTCTGTAAATGAATAAAGATGAACATGTGTAAATTAAATAAAAAATGCTTTAAGATAAATACTTATACTGACACAATGATAAATTTATTAATGAAATGTGTTGGGATTTAAATAATTTTGAATTATTAAAAAAAATATATATTTATATAATAAGTAAAATATTCTCAATTAAATTATTAATATAATATAATTTTAATTAATATAATTATTAAATAAAATAATCAATGTTATCATATAAATTTAGATTTAAAACGAATAATTATGTCCTATTTTTTGTTTAAACTCATTTTTATGATTATCTTATAATTTATTGTATAATTATTATTATAGTAATATATGACTGAATGTAAAAAATGAAATAAACTATCAATTAATGACTTAAATTTTATTTTGTAAAATTGTAATTACGGTTTAATAAATCAATAACTTTTATTAGGATTTGATTTTATTATTTGATGTAATATTAACTTTTAATTTTCAACTGTACTTATATATATAGATATATATAAGTATATTACCAATTTAATTATCTTATTAATATTTACCAATTACATATTAATATTTACCAATTTAAAATATTTCTAAATTTTAAATTTATAATTTTTATTTGTAATTTATTATAATGTTGAATTTACAAAATATAATAATGGCTTAAGAAATATTTTTAGGTTTTTAATTAAAACATTTACTTTTTATTTTTTCATAATACTAACAAATAAAGAATAAATTATGAATCTACAAGAAGCAATGTTTTAAGTTTTAAAATAATTTTATATTAAATTGTCTATAAAAATAATTTCATTATTTTATTATTGTTAAAAAACGATTCTATAAGAAATAGTTTATATTTTATTTATTTATTTTTATATAAATAAAAATGATATCTACTGGAATTATAAATTATTTACTAAAAAATTTCGAATATTTGATATATTTCAATCTAAAAAAAATACGTATAATAAAATAATATATACATAATGCTTCCTTAATTTTATTAATTATACTAGAGAGTATTTTTATTTTTGATGACTTTATTTATGATTAAACAATTTATGGGATATATTTAATTTATTAAGCAATAATGACAATAGTTATAAAATGAGTAATAAATGTGGTTCCGTTTATATTTACATTGATTTAAAATTTAATTAAAGTTTATGGAATGTCACAATAAAATAATAATAATTTAATTTTAATATATTTAATTTTTAATATTATTTCGAAATTGGCTTCATTTATTATGACTGTTAGCATTGATTTTTGTGATTAATTTTATTATTTTTCAGTATTATAAATATATTTAATTTATGTTCAGAATATATTTAAATGAATGTAAGAATTTTATGTATAATTATATAGATAAAAATAAAAAAAAGTATTATATTAAGCAAATTCATCTTATAATATATCTTATATGTAAAAAATATTAACTAAATCAATTTAATGTAATAATTCCAGTTCAAATAGATTATTCGAATAATCTTTATAAGTTTATAAGTTAATTTATCAAAGGAAAAAGTCGTTAATAATAAATATAGTACGATTTAAAATAATTAAGATTAGCTAACATACATGTAATATTTTACGAAAATTTTATATTGATCCAATAAATATGAGAGAATTACAAATTATATAAATTGCAAACAATACAACTTCTTTATCTAATTTTAAAGATTTATTGGAAGTTAGAAATATAACAAACTTCTTTATTTAAAGAAAAATGTTTCAAAATGTAAATATATTTATTAATACTCAAGGTATTCGTTAATTATTGTTGTTATTAAATTCTGTAAATTTATTATGTACTATAAATTATACATTAAATTTTATATTTATTGTTTATTTCATTATTTTTATTGTATCGTGGAAGTTCAATTTAATAATAGCATAATATTAATAAGTAATTTTTTAATATTTTAAGCGTACATTTATTTGAAATAAAAAGAAAAACTGAAGAATATTAGTTTTTTATGTAATTTTACGATAAATTTAAAGACTTTTATGTTATATATATGTATATTTTATTTATATTTATATAATACTATATTTTATATTCAAATGTACCATTATTAATTAGTATATTACTTATACTTGCTTATAAAAATAAAATACAAGTAATTTATATGGACAAATCTTTAAAATAATAGTATATTGCATAAAATAAATATTACTAAGCTTTTATAAGATAATATTAGTTGTAAAATAAGATTAGTTGTAGAATAAGAAATCATTCTTACATTATTTCATTTAATTTGTAACTAAGCGTAATATTTTATATTCATTTATGGATAAAAATTAACAAATATTACACTAATAAAATAGTTGGCTTCAAAATAAGAAATATATTAATTAATTACAGTTACAATGGATCCAAATGAATTTAAAGATTTCTCAAAGGAAATGACAGATTTCATTGTGCAATATCTGGAAAACATAAGAGAAAGGTAAGTAATCCTACCTTGAAAAATGCAATCACTTATAGTAAGGTTTTTATGCATCTTCAAATTATAAGACTATTCATTGATAAAAGTATGATTTGGGATCAAGGATTGTGTACAAAACCTGCATCTATGTACATATACAATTATACAACACTTATCTTGTGATATCTATAGAATGTTAGACCAACATATATGTTGCGTATTTATACGAAAAGTGAAACGTTCATGAACGGAAAGAAAAATTAACCTTGACAATACCTTGCATCATGAATACATGTACAATAAAAAATATATGATTGTAATGATTTCGTTTAATAGATGATTTAAATAAATATCGAAACTATAAGGATTTTGGTCTTTAAAATTTTAAGCTTTCAAGGCATTAAACATTAGATAAATGAAATAAAAAAATTCTTTTTCTTTGGTACTTTAATTTATATTCAATTAAAAATTTATAGATTAATATATAAATATAGATGTTCACGAAGTGTACATAAATATTGTATAATTGACATATCAATTTACTTTCTAAATACGTAATCTTAAATTCATTAACTAATCGAAAATAACATTTAAAAATGTTAATATAATCTATCAATATGTTTATAACATATGTAAATAGATATTCAAGAATTAATAATTTATAATTACATAATTTTAATGCATAGTAAAAAATAAAATGTTCTACTAGAATCTAAATTGTTTTTAATATATTTTAAAAAAGATTGTTATTTTGAAATTATATAATATTCAATAAGTATAAAACACCAGTATGCTTTAGTAAATTGTACTTTTAATAATTTATATTATTTACTTAATTATATTAAATTATAAAGAAAAATTTCTATAATAAAAATAAACATTTTATTAATATGCATGTCCAATTAAAAAATTTTAAGAATATTTATATTTCAACATAAGAGTTCATTAATAATTCTTATAAAAACTTTAAAATATTTAAGTTATAAGTAATTAATATTAATAGAGCATTAATATGTTTAGATTTCATTAATCAATTTTATAAGTCAAATTTTAACTTGAAAGTTGGTATTTTAGGAGAGTTTTACCAATTGTGCAGCCCGGTTATATGAAACCCCTAGTTCCTGATGAAGCACCACAGTATCCTGAAGCATGGCAAAATATTATGAATGATATCGAAAGAGTAATAATGCCTGGCGTAAGTTATATATAAACATAAAATAAAAATTTTTTTAAAATACAATTAGCTTAGAAACAATATTTAAAGTTAATAAAATAATTATACATATAATTTCTAAAAAATTAATAAATTCACGTTTTCAATTGTATTTTATTTTAATATCAAAGGAAATATTATAAAGAAATTATTGTAAATTTACATTAAATCACATTATTGTAAATTTTATTATTCATGTTGAAATTCCAATTTCAACCAATGTAGTTTTTAATTTGATAGCACTTCCAAATGTTTTGAATTTTCAGTATTCGTTTATTTATTATTTATAATTATGTATAATTGTATATATAGCTTATGTATAATTTATATTTATTATTATTTATATTTCATTCAAAATTTTAAATAGTTTTACAAATTATATTTAAGGATATATAAAATTTAATATTTAATTAAAAAATGTAATATATTAACATAGAAAATTAACTTAATATACAATTTAGTATCATAATAAGATTGAATAATTTTCTTATTTTTATTAGGTAACTCATTGGCACAGTCCCAAATTTCATGCATATTTTCCTACGGGTCAATCTTATCCTGCAATAGTTGCAGATATGCTTAGTGGTGCAATCGCTTGTATAGGATTTACATGGGTAAATCTTTTAAACAAATATTTAATATATATTTATATGTTCACTCAGAATAATATTGATATTATCTTATATATGTTAGATTGCAAGTCCAGCGTGCACAGAACTCGAAGTAATAATGCTTGATTGGTTAGGAAAAATGATTGAATTGCCAAAGGAATTTTTGGCTTGCGGCGACGGTAATGGAGGAGGTGTAATTCAAGTAAATCCTACAATAAAACATAATAAGTACTATAATTAACAATAAAATAAATTATAAGATTCTCTTTAAATTTTATAATAAAATTACGATTAAAATTATACTATTATTTTATTAGCAAAAAATATATATTCTTATATAATATTAATATATTAATATATAATATATTCTTATTAGATTAAACTAAATAATTACTTTATTTGTGTTTCACTATAATGTAAGGGTACAGCAAGTGAAGCAACTTTGGTAGCACTTTTAGGTGCTAAGGTTAAAAAAATCAAACAAATCAAAGAACTACATTCAGAATGGACAGATAATGAAATTGTTGGAAAATTAGTTGCATATGGATCACGTAAGTCAATACTATTTTAATAAAATATTTTAGAATTTTTTATTATTTTTTATTATGTATTTTATTATATAAGAATTGTAAGCAATTATCAGTTAATTATAAAATTTTCTATTAATTTTTTATTATTCTAATTTATTTTTAAATAAAATAGTATTTTTGTGACAAAATATATATTATTTAATTAATTAACTTATTGTACAATTTTTAACGATATATTAAGTTTCATAGCTAAATTAAACACTAAATTGAGTAAAAGTAAAAACAAAAAAGTGATCAATAGATGAAACAATGTAATAAAAAATATCTTAATATTCAGTTAGTGGATAGGAAATGACAATAGATGTATGGGCTTGACGTTAAGTTACTTCATCAAAGGGCACTTTATTACCATGGCAACGCGTAATAATCTCTAGAACTACTGAAAATTCATTTCGAGCTCCGTCAGTTCTATTCCCATTTCAAATAACATCCATTTTAAGAGTACTATATAGATTTCATTTATGAATCTAAGGAGTTGGGCAAAATGGATTTACTTTATGCCCATTATTATTTTAATTTATTTTAAATAAAAAATAATAAATTGTTTTCATTTAATTTTTTTTTTAATTTTATTATTTATCATCATTTCTAATAATTAAGATATTTACATTATTGTATAAAGTGCAAGCTGCATATAAAAGCAAAATTATTCAACTTAATAGTGTAAAACATATTCTTCCAAACAAATTACAAGCACATAAAAAATAGATTAGATAGAAAATATGCTTATATATGTTAATCTATTTAAGTACATGCATTATTTATATTCTTACTATATGACTTTACTCAAAAAAATGTCAACAATAGGAATTTCGATCAATTTTATTAACTGATTAATTAAAATAAAGTTAATTATAAAATAAAGTTAATTATAAAATAAAGTTAATTATAAAATAAAGTTAATTATAAAATAAAGTTAATTATAAAATAAAGTTAATTATAAAATAAAGTTAATTATAAAATAAAGTTAATTATAAAATAAAGTTAATTATAAAATAAAGTTAATTATAAAATAAAGTTAATTATAAAATAAAGTTAATTATAAAATAAAGTTAATTATAAAATAAAGTTAATTATAAAATAAAGTTAATTATAAAATAAAGTTAATTATAAAATAAAGTTAATTATAAAATAAAGTTAAACTTTATTTTAATTAATCAGTTAATAAAATTGATCGAAATTCCTATTGTTGACATTTTTTTGAGTAAAGTCATATAGTAAGAATATAAATAATGCATGTACTTAAATATATTAACATATATAAGCATATTTTCTATCTAATCTATTTTTTGTGTGCTTGTAATTTGTTTGGAAGAATATGTTTTACACTATTAAGTTGAATAATTTTGCTTTTATATGCAGCTTGCACTTTATACAATAATGTAAATATCTTAATTATTAGAAAATAAAATAAATAATTCGATATATAATTCAATTTCTATAAATTTAATTTTCAATATTAATTTTATTATGAAATATATTTAATAACTCAATAGGCGGATATGATCCCACAATATTTTTAAGTACGGTTAAGTGTGATTTTAATATTTGTAGCTCATAGATTACATCTTTTCTATTTGTTAATGTGTTCCTCTTTATTTTCTCTTTATATTATTTATATTCTCTTTATATATATTTAGAATTCCTAATAATGTTCTTTAACCTGACAATTTTAATCCATTAAAAAAACAAATTATATTTTTGCCTCGTATATTATCAAATTATAAACAATTGTTAAATTTCATTACGTCATTTGGATATTAAAATTATAATCTAAAAATGAAATCTAATTATTTTATGGGAATTTAAAAAAAAATTTAATATTTTGTCTATAATTCAATGAATCTTCATTTTTATTCTTATTTCTAGATAAGAACTGTTGAGATATACAATTTTAACTAGATATAATATTATTTCTAAATTTTTTAATTTGTTGATAGATAATTACTATAATTGCTGAATATTAAATGTACAGTTACTTAATTTTATTAATATTCTGTACTGCATAGTTTTATGTATATAAATTTATATTAGCAACATATTAACACGTGTATTGGCATAAAAATTAAAAACAATATTTGATACTATTTAATTATTGTAAAACACCAATATAATACTATAATTAGAAATACCTACTTAGAAATTATTCCCAATGTTTTATAATGTTCTTTAAGCTCATGCATTTTCTTTTTTCTTTTTTAATTATAATAACATTTTAATCGGAGTAATTTTTTAATGATCAATACAGGTCGCATTAATTTTTTCTTATAGTTATTCAGTCCACATTTACCTTATAAGCATATTAAAAATATACTTATTATAAATTTACATTATTTGTTATTAGGTGGAGGCTTTTACTTCTCTATTATATTCAGATATTTAGTTAGAATAATTCATTTTGTTGTTAATTTAATAATTGTGAACCTATTAATAGTACATAATATACGATTGTTATCAATAATATAACTGAAAAATAATAATATTCTTGGACATTGAACATATTTAAAATATTTTTTTTTTCTTACATTTTATTTTTATTTAATATTTTCCTTTGAAAATAATGACTTAAAAAAAGTAGTTGATAATCATTCGCGTAAATAATTTCTCCAAATTGATAACAATTATGAAAATTTGATGTTTTGATTTTTCAATAAATATGTATTGTAAAAAATGTTTTTACATCTTCAAATAAGATTAATAATGATGAAAAAAAGATTTATCTTATTTTGTTTATAAAAATTTACTTAAGTATAATTGTGCCCGTATTATTATTAATAATACGTATATTCCCGTATAATCATTAATTTTTTAAATAAATAGATAACACGTTCGATCTTTTGCTAGTAATAAATATTTAATTAGAATTTTGAAATTGTAATTTCAAAATCAACGCTTAATTTAGCATTAGAAATAATAACCCGAGTTAAATTATATCAAATTCTGCTATGTATTTATATTTTCATGATTCATAATTAAGTTCTTTTCAATGTTTTGATTAGATGATTTTTCTAGAGATATAAAAGCTTGATGAAAATATTTTAAATTGCTTCAAATTAGTAAAGTTATTAATAATTTATATACTTTTACTTTTCATTTCAGTACAAATCAATTTATACTTTAGTGGCCGATTTATTTCTTTTTAAGTTCTAAAGCTCCCAATAATAGTATCTCGGTACCAAGTAATATTTTTCGCCGATCGTTATTGAACAGAATAAAGTCCGTATATTTTGAAAAAAAGAGTCCATTCAGTTGTGAAAAATGTAACATTTTTAATTTTACCTTTTTAAGATGTGTAATACTCATTCAAGATTTTACTCCATCAGTTTGATATGCTTAATATATAGGCCTAATGAATAGACAAACTTTTGTGACAAACGTAATGTTTCTTTATTTAGTAATACATTAGAAGTTAGGCAAATAGTTTTGTTTTTAAATCATCGATATACTTTGTATGATTATAAAATTTTCAAAGTAAAATGATTTTAGATGACAGTTCATTGAAGTAAGGGCGAAGAATAAACTGTTTTTATCATATTATATAAGAAAATCTGCACTACTATAACTACTTTGATTAAGTAAATTCACTTTTCAAATCAATTACTCGTTATTATTTAATAAAATATATAACTTTAAAAATAGAATTTGGAATATGCTTATATATAAAATTTATTTTATATAAAATAATTTTAATTTCAAATACAACTACAATTCATAATTTATCCTAATGAATAACTTGATTTTGATAAATAATAAATTTATATACCTCGTTAATTTATTTCAAATTCAAATTTATAATCATAATTAGTAGTTCATTATATTAATTTTATCGTTATTTTTAAAAAACAAATTTAAAAATTAAAAATATTAATAATTTATTTTATGCTAAAAATAAAATAAAGTAAAATTTTGTAAGAGCAATGTTATTTTTTGTATCATTAAATTATTGCGTTAATATTAATTATAGTTCAAGCACATAGTTCCGTAGAACGAGCTGGTCTTTTGGGAGGTATTCAGTTTAGACTTCTTGAAACAGATGGTAAACATCGACTACGCGGAGAAACATTTGCGACAGCCATTCGTGTTGACAAAGAGCAAGGACTAATTCCGTTCTATGTAAAGGCTCCGTTTAATAAAAATATTCACTTATTTAATATTTTTGAACAAATATTTATTTAAATTTTATATTAGGTTGTTGTCACGTTAGGAACCACTTCATCTTGCACATTTGACCGTTTGGATGAAATAGGACCAATTTGCAATAGTGAAAAAATTTGGCTACATGTTGATGCTGCATATGCAGGTTAGTATTTAATTATTTTAATATTTAATATTATTAAGCGCAGTATTTTTATTGAGCAGTTTAAAAATTAAAGATGTTAAAAATATTGCTTTTTTTATATTTTGATTTTGAAATAATTTTTTTCATTAATGTAGAAAAGTTCCAAAAATTTCCATATTTTAAGTTAATTTTATGAAAATCATATCATTTTTATTTTATTTTCATATTCTTCTAATATTTTTTGACATCATGAATTAAAAAATGTATTCGACATTGAAAATCAAAGGTATAAAACAAAAATTTTATCTATTAATGTAAAAATTTAATAAATAATTATAAGATATTAAAATGAATAAAAGAGTTTAAAATTGTAAATTTATAATTATTATTTACTAATATTAAATTATTATTAGCTATTAGATTTAATAAATATATTTAAAATAATTAAACTTTAAAAAAGTACTTAAATGTAATGAATTTTGCACTTGCATATAATTCTTTTCTCATATCATAAAAAACTCTGAAAATTATATAATTTATGATTAAATATTAAAATTTGAATTCATAATTTTCATGAATCTATCTTATTTTTCTGGTTTATAAATTAAGAATTTGAATAGATCTGATTATTTGAAAAGTATTTTTTTGATAAATTGTATTATCATTTTATGTATCATTCTAATTAATTAATTGGATTCTATCACATTATTATATACTCTGATGGTTGCAGAAATAAAATTTTTATAAATTTTGTGTAATTTTTTTAAATATAATGTGAATAAATAATCTTGAATGCTAAGGCCAAATTTCTTTTTATATGAATTTGTGTAATTTAAATAATATATTATAAAAACAAAACAAGTTTCTATCGCAATTTTTCAATTTTGCCAAATTAAATTTTGTATTAATTTCTTTTATTATTTAAAATTTATCGTTACTAAATTCTATTGATTTTCAATTAAAATTATTCTTCTGATTAATATTATCGGATCTATTTTTTGTACTAGTATTTTATTAACTCATCTTCTTCATTTATTCTTGTAAATTTTTAGTAGATAAAATATATTGTTTATATTGACAATTCTATTCAATATTTTACAACAGAAAAATTATATACTTTTATAAAAATACAAATATTTTTATTTATTTAAAATATAGATAGTTAGTATAATATTATTGTTTACATACTTTTATCAGATTGTTAAAACTAAATTATTTGTGTAAGTAAATAAATTATTAATCATTTATATATTATATGTATACTTCAAACTATGTTATTATTTATTTTTTATGAATAATTAAATTTGTTATGATGCAGCAGTATAAATGCTACATATAATATTGGTATTGTATTTAAAAACTGACTTTAAGATAAATAAATGAATAGCTTAATATTAAACTGTAATTATTTTTTAGAAAATAATTTAGAAAAGTATTTTAATTTATATTATATAGTAATATAATAATCTATATTTTCAATTAATTTTTAATCTTCAATTAACTTGCTGGAAACCTTGTTTAAATATTATTAAATGATGGTATTTTTTTATTTAAAATATTATATTATTTTATTACAATGGTATACTATTTTCATCTAAATATATTTTATAAAATTTACATAAATATTTTAGGATCTGCATTTATTTGCCCAGAATTTCGCTACTTAATGAATGGAATAGAGAGAGCAGATTCTTTTAATTTCAATCCACACAAATGGATGTTAGTCAATTTCGATTGTTCACCTTTGTGGTTGAAAGAACCAACATATATCATTAATGCATTTAATGTTGATCCTCTTTATCTTAAACATGATTTGCAGGGATGTGTGCCAGATTACCGTGTATGAATAATTTTGAATAAATATTTTGCTATTTTATATTATAATTTCTATTTTATAAAAAAATATTTGTTTACAATATTTTGTATTAATTATTCTTTTAGCATTGGCAAATTCCTCTTGGTAGAAGATTTAGAGCTTTAAAATTGTGGTTTGTTCTTAGATTATATGGTATAGAGAACCTTCAAAAATATATAAGGATCCACGTTGCTTTAGCTCATGAATTTGAGGAAATGGTCTTATCCGATCCTAGATTTGAAATTGTTGAAGAAGTTATTCTTGGTCTTGTTTGCTTTAGACTAAAGGTGAATATTGTTTGTTATTTTATAGTATGTTAATGTCATTTTAAAATAAATGAGTTTATTTATAAACAATTTTTTCTATTATTTGAATTTTTATCATATTTATTAAAATATATTTTACTATATAAAATTTTTTAAATGTAGAATATTGTATATATTTTCATTAGAATTACTTATTACAATTCCAATTCATTTTTATTCTATTTTCGATGCAATTGAATAATAATATAACAAAATGGTAAATTTATAATAAATAGTTATTTATAATAATATTATATACTAATACGTTGTCGAATATTGTTAGATATATAATGTATAGATTAATGGTTAGATATTCTCTTTAAATTAATTTTTAATTAATTTTTATATTTGTGTCATTTTACAGGGTACGAACGAATTAAATGAAGCGCTTTTAAAGCGAATAAATGGAGCTGGAAATATTCATTTAGTGCCGTCGAAAATACAAAGCAATTTCTTCTTGCGCTTGGCTATTTGTTCACGTTTCACCGAAAGTAAAGATATTGAGTACTCATGGAAGGAGATCAAACTTCGCGCAGAAGAATTATTGGACGGGCAGTCATTGTCTAAGTGATTGCGCATCTACATAATGCGTAATCGCAAAACGCTTGTGACTAACATTTACATACAGTTTTAAGAACTTAAATATTATTCCCACTTATTTCAGGAAACTGAGTCTTCTCTGTCTATATACAAATGTATATACAAAAGTGATAAAGGAACATATTACGAATGAATAAACGATTCAAAGAACGAATATATATATATATATATATATCTTTTAAGATTGATGAAATAATAGCCGCAATTTCTAAAAGATTTTAAATATTGACTTATTTCCTTAAAATTGTTCTTGAAAATATTATAATTGTTTTCACAAAAATTAACTCCATACATATTATGCTGTCCAAGTACCAAGGAAATAAAATTCATGAGTTGTAAAATATATTTTTAATTAATTATTTTTATGTTAATAGCTACAGAAACAATTTTAATTCATAAAATTTTAAATGTTGTTTTACTGCAGTATTCAATTTTTTAAACTTAATATTTATAATGTAATTAGAGTACGTTTGATTCTTTTAAAAAATTGTAAACAAAAAACTTTCCCTAGTTTACCTTCAATAATTCGAAATTTAGAATGTATTGAACGATGTATTTTATTTTATTTTTTTTAAATAAAATAATATACTCTTTATTAAAAATAAATGAATTTATATACTTATATATATATATATATATATATATATAACAAATAATATTAAAATCTACTGTACTAATAATAATACTTGTTGAATTAATTGTAAACTAGCTATATATTTTATATGTGCTAGTTATACTATCAATTTGCAATATAAAATTTAAAAAGTTTAAATTACATTTTTAAAAGGTATGGTACCTCATAAATATTCAATTTTTCTAATGATAGATATAAACTAACATTAATGTATCTAATACTGTATTTCAATGTTTCATTAATGAATAATTTTATAAGTAGTAATTGTTCAACTCTTACTGTTAGTTAGTTTCCTTGTTAAAATATATAGGCCAAAAAAATTTTCATAGTTAAACATCTACTGAATTTAAGACAATAATAGTATAAATATAGGATTTCTGTTTTGAAATTGTTGCGAAAGCGTATTTATTAATATAATCAAAAATTTATTTCAGATTATTTTATAAGTTATTTTTTATTTATATTTTTGAGAATTATTATAACTCTTTTTAATTATGAATATCGCTTTTGTGCGAAAGAAGTTATTCGTATTCTATATTTTAAATTATTTCTAATTTATTAAATAATACCATAAATGTGCAGTGGATCATAAAAAAATTGAAACATAATATTATATAATAATTTAATGTATAAAACAATAATATTATTTTATTTATTGTATTATTGATAAAACTCAATCAAATGTACTTGTAATTAATGAGAATCGATCATTTTAATATACAATTTATTCTGTATACATAACATACTTAATAGGAGCCAAAATTTGAAAACAATTTTATAAAGATAATCCATAGTCTATATATTGTTAGAAAATAGTATTCGATCAATAATTTTAATAAGTTAAGAATAATTATATATTATTTAAATCAATGGAAATCAATGGAAATTATAAAATCGTTTGCGATGCAAATAATTTTAATAATCAACTCATTTTAATAGGATCAATAAACAATTTAAAATGTATCTATTGTAATTTTATGTCCTAAATGGTTGAAGAATTTTTAATATAATTTAAGTAATTAGAATTTTATATAGATATTCTCATATGATTAAATTAGTATTAAACATTTTAAGTGTGTAATTTCATGTATGTAATAAGAGATAATAATTTTTTATCTAATTTATTCTTATAATGATTAATAAATATAGTTATTAATTGGTAATAATTAATTAGCTACTGCATTTATACAAATAATGTTTGACCCAAATAAAAAAAATATTAATATTAAGTTAACATTGTTACTTGTTTTGTAAAAGCTATTTTTTAAACTATATATACATCTATATATACATATTTTTTTATAAACACTTATTTGTATATTAAATTATATATTAAGGTAAATATTGATCTGTATAATATAGACAAATAATAAAAATTGTAGCAAATATTATGTTTAATAAACAAACATATGTTGTTGTAATAAATAATTATAAAAATATATTTTACATAGATTAATAATTCATATTAATTTTGAAATCCTCTTAAAGCATTTTATAGATTCTATTATGGTTTTTCTGTATGATCATTTTAAAGCAAATGAATAAATATTGGATATAAATCTTTCAAATTATATTATTTTTATTATAAAATAGCCTTCATAAAATTTTTTAATAGTACATTTAATTTTAACAAATAACGTTTTGATAGAATTGATAAATTATATTATATGTAAAAAAGTAAATCATTATACGTTAAGTTAAAAAATCAAAAGTTTATATATATGAGTATATTAATACTATCAGTGACACAGGGATGTAGTTTCTGCAACTTTTTTAGGTGGGCCTTTAAAACATTTTGTCATTTGGATTATTCTATCTGCTTCACGAATTCCACTTAATCTTGCACCATGAACTGTGCTGTGATGACCAGGAATCGTTGCTTCTCCAGCGAATAATAAAATTGGTGCAATTGGATCGCATGAACCTATATAAGTAATGAAATGGTATTTAAAAATATAAAATTAATTCAACATATTATAATAATCATAATATTGATTATATTTATATTATAATAACTATTACTTTTTTTATTACATGTTGCAAACATTATTAAACATTTTTAAATAAATGGACTAAATTTTATAATTAAATAAACTTTTTAAGATATTTTTATAAATTTTGTTGATAGTGTACAAGATTTAAAAACTGGAAATCAGTATGGTACTATTTAAAACTGTATTAATGTAATAGTACAAAAATTCATTAAATATTTTATACATATATTTTATATGTATATTATTAAAATCATAAAAATCTACAATTATTCTTGAATATAAAATAAATCGTTCACCTATAAATCAAGAATTTGATCATTGAAATGTATAAGAAACTTAATTTTTTATAATTTACATAATTAAAATCATATTGCTGTTTAAAAGTTTAGAACTTATCTTTATTACACATTATAAATATAAAGTAATTTACAAAACCTAAATTAATGTCAAAGTAACCACATATTTATAAATGTATTTTAAAAAGGACACAAAAATAATCACAAGATTTTTGAATTTTTTCAACGTAAGAATAACTCATTATTCATAGATTATCTTCAATTTTTCATATACATTTCCTCGTATCTTTTTAAACTATTCTAGTCTACAAGTTCGTACTAAGTTTTCTTTAATTAAAATGGAAATATAACAATAAAACATAAAATATAATATGTATTAAGTATATATAAAATATATTAATTACAAAATAAATTCTATGAATAAATATTATGAACAATTAAATATAGTAACATTTTAAAATTATTTATTACCTGGTAATGGACTTGATAAATCGCATTGATGTCCAACTGTACTATCTAAAGCCATGTAACTATAAGATCCAGCGAAAAATTGGTCCATACACCATTTACTTCGAAGTAAATTTGCCGGATACGGTAAAGTTGGATCTCCAGTAAATTGACGTAAAAGTCGAGTCATTGATTCAACAATTTGTTCATCAGTGCAAAGTTCCATATCCGCTGCTTCTCGACCGCATACCCAAGCACAGAGAACATGTTGTGAGCCCACAAGTTCTTCAACCACAGATATACCTAATTTCATTGTTGTTTTCTTAATATTTATATCAAAATTTTAATGAAAATTAAAATCATAATAAAAAGAAATATTTAAACATTTAATAATATCGATTGAACAAATAAAAAAGTATACAGAGACACACCTTTAACCCAATCGCACCGCTCGGAGAGTTCATCGGCTGACCAAGCGAGTCTGATACTACCTTCATGCCATACCCAAAACGGTCTCTCGTATTCTAAGAAAATTTTGTTTACATAGCCATAGCCCAATCGAGAAATAGCTTCAACTTTTTCTGCAGGCAGTGCCGGACAAAAAAGTTTCTCATGTTGGTGTTTTAGAACACCTAACGAGACACTAACGATGACATAGTCGGCCAGAAATTCTTCACCATCACAACATTTTACCATTGCTCGTGGGCACGTCTCACTGGCTGCACCCCACCGAACACAACTCACCGGTTTGCAATATTTCATGGAGTTGCTTGGTAACTCGCGCAACAAAGGTGCCAAAGTTCCAACGTAGCCAAGAGGAACACGAACATTTCCACCAGGTACCTCGATGTAACTGCCAAATTGATCGGCGGATACAAGTGAAAGATCATCACCGCAGCGACAACGTACACAATTCGTTAAACCATACATCACTCGTGCTGCATCGTACCTGCGTGCGATAATAAGCCTATTAAAGATTATGTTATAAATAAATAAGCTATATACTTTTTGTTTTTAGTAAAAATATAAAATATTTTATTATGATGATTATTAATTTAAAAAAAATTTAATTCATTTTTTATTGATTGAAATATATTTACTAAAATAATATATATTTTTATTCCTTAAATTATAAAAAGGTATTGAAATTTAGTTTAAATTGATATTTTTATAAAATTAATCTTATGATAATATACATCATTTTTTAATTATATGTTAGTTTCCATAAAAACGGCTAAATTATATAATTTTAAATATTAATCAAAATTTTCAATATTAATTAGCGTTATTTGAGAAAATAAAAGTAAGAACATACCATTCATGGATTTTAATAGAAGTACGTCAAAGTTCTACTTTCCCACTTACACATATACTTATATACAATATATTATATATATCTATATATAATATACTTATATACGATTGATACATTTAAACATATCCTTGCAACCATCAATTCATAACTTAATTAAAAATTATAACGTACGCATATATTTTATTCCCATACTCTCGTACAAGAAAATGTTTATAAAAAATTGACCTTTCTAACAAATCTTCATTTCAACTGGTTTACTTCACATTAAATTTTAATCGAAGTCTTTTTGTTGTGTATTTCAGCATGTATCACTTCAGTACTTCAGAATTTTCAGTAATTCAATGATTTTTTTAGAAATATTTTTTGTATTAATGCATAATAATTTATTTAACTGCAAATAAATAAATACTATTAAATTTTGATGTTGGTAGTAGAATGAATTCTTTCGGTTTAACATGTAGATCATCGACATTGTTTCGATCGTCACTCTTCATATTTTGGATAATTGGTGTTTTGTGACTGTAATTTAAGATGACAATCTTCTATAATATTTTAGTCACTTTTCTCTGATTCCATCGCTCCATCGGATTGTCTTTAATATATAACCGTTATCAGTGATTAACAATAAGTTGCTATCCTAGGATTATTATAAACCATAATATCACTATTGTTAAGAACGTAAGAGTTGGTGATATGGTGCTCTTGAAGCATTCTTCGATATATTTTAATTATTTAAATCTCATCTTCTATTACTGTTTCCAGGGTGGTATATTAGTTATGATAATTGACATTTTAATTTATCATTTTTTTATTTCAAAATAATTCGTATATGTATACAGAAAACGTTATTTTATACTTTTCTTGGAAAGTTCTTATCTATGTTTTATAGAAATCATAATTTAGGAGATTTATTGATATAACACGTATTTTTAAATATATTATGAGTGATTAATGATCTGAATTTTAAATGATAGAATATAGATTTTTCCCTTATATTTTGGCTAGAAGATAAATTTTATCATCAAATATGAGGATTAAATTAGAAAATGCAATGAATTAAATAAAAATATTTCTGAATTTGTGCATTTAATTAAGATAGTACATTATATTTTATTAATATAATATCAATAAAATATAAAATAATATCAGGGAATTTCTTGAAATATAACCAACTAAGCGGGATAGAATTTAAATGAATTAATAATAAATTAAAAATTAAAATATTCAAAGTTGAATATATTTATAGTAAAAACCACGTCCGAATGTTTTAAAATATAGTTGGTTAGAAACAAATTAATCAAGATTTCAAAATTAAAGTTTTCATGGAAATAACTTGAAAGATATGCTAAAATTTAATTTATTAAACGTATATTAATTATAATTATTTATAATATTTTTATATGTAGATGTTAAATATAAATAATATTAAGAAATTTATAAAAATTAAAAATTAAAATTAAATTAAAATACTTATAGAATGGCTTATTTTCAGACAAATATGAAATGCAGAATATAATATATTAAGATAGTACAATTATATTTAATTGAAATAATTGCAGGTATTAGAAAAATAGATATATTAAAGTTAATTACGTTTGCCAAAAAATACTGAATTTTCATAAGCACCGTGATTAATTGAAAATTAAGATGAATGTAAAAAATTGTATTAAAAATATATTCAATCTTATAATAAGAGATTAATGTTAAATTAAAATAATAATCAGTAATAATATAAAATATTCATAATAAAATAATATATGAGAAAAACTTAATATAATTTATGTAGCTAAATTTTAATGAGTGTTCATAAGTATACTATCAAATTAACTTGTGTTAATAATTAATACCATAATTAAATTCTATATTTAAAAAATAAATCAAATTATCTTAAATATATTATCTTAAATTATCTTAAATTACCGTACTCGAGCGAATTAGCAATTAAAAACTAAAAAATTTCGGCTGACTAATTTTAAAATTACAAAGCTAGTCTTGGATAGTATTCCGTTGACAAAATTTGAAAATCACAGATTTTTTCTGGGATAGTTCGATTAATTTTATTAATGACACTCTGTAATTGATGTATATTAGGATATGTATTTGTATGATTGTCTATATAATGTCATTACATCTTGAATTTCACGAACAATTCTTTTGATGTTCTAATGGTTTTTTGGGTATTTTACATAACCGAATTATAATAAACAATAAACAATAAACAATAAAATAATAAACATTTTATCATAATAAATTATTTATTTTGAAGAAACTGTTTTTCTTTTATCTTCTACGAAAATCAATTCATGATGATCTCATATATTTTTATGGCTATTTCCATATTGATAAATCTTATGACTACATAATTATACAGTTTGGCCACGAAATATTTTGTATATCTCACAGATGAACGATTTTATTGAGTATTATTGAATATTATCAGCTATTTTGTAATTAATGGTTAAATGGTAATTAAGTTAAATAATAATTAAGTTAAATAATAACTTAATTCGCGGTTAGTTTCTGATATATATATAGATATAAATTTATATATAAAAATATGAATTTATGTATATTTTTAAATCTCACTCATGCAATAATTTAATTATCTATTCGTATTTGATTTTGAGAGATTTTGCTTCCTCGTAATAAAGAACTCTAAGGACTCGTGTTCACTGGAATCTTGTAGTTTAATTGAGCTAAATGATGTAATTAAATTTGGAGATGCAGTATCCATTTATTCAGAGTCTATTAGAGTTGTAATTAGTTCTATAAATTCTTGTTGACTAGCACATTATAAATGAGAATTTGTAATACGAACAAGGGAGGTGTGTCTGATTATAGTAATATGATTATAGTAATAATCGTATAACATTGGTAACGAAAACAGATAATGAAGCTTATTCATTTTCAATTATTTATTGCATTTGGTTAATTTAAGTAAAATAAGACATTGAAAAATGCATTCCTTAATATTCATATCAAATTTAAATCATTAATATTCTCAAGTTTATTTTTCATTTCTTTAACTTTAATTTATTAATTACTTTTTTAATATTACATTGTCGAATCCCGTATACTTATCAATAATTCATTTATTTACTAATTAGAACTAATATTTCAAAACTTTACATAAATTTTGAAATAATATTGAAGTTATCAAGCTTCTAAAATATTTGAATTTATTTAAGTTATGAAAAAGAAAATTCAGAGATATAGACAAGAAGAAAATTAGTAACAGCATAATAAAGTTAAGTAGTGGAAACAGAACGGGAATTCAAAATTTAATCAAAATGATGAGTCTTGATTTCATCTTTACTTTTTAGTATATGAAATTTAGAAAGTTAGAATGATTAGAAAAATTTGTGAGGACTTGAATTCATAGAGCTACACTATTATTTTTATTAGCTTAAATTTTTAAAATAATTTGAAAATAATTATTTAGTTAAGTGAAATAAAAATTTTTTTTTTAAATAAAATAAATTGAATATTTTGTTAATACAAATTTTGATAGATGGAAATCACTAAACGTATTATTACCTCTGCTCTTCTGGAAAATTATGCAGTTCTTGTTGTATTCTGATACCCATAAAATTAAGTAAATTTCCATGATTTCTACCGCAACCGAGAGAAAATAATGCTGCTGCCTGTTGCTCTATTTGTCGAAACGCATGATAAGCTGTTATACTGATAGGTAAATCAATAGCACGACCATCGCTTGTACAAAACAAGCCTTTGCTCGGATCTGGCCTGAATAATGGTGGTTTTAGCAAACCTTCTTGAGCAGCAAGCGTGAATATCGGATTAGCGACACATCCTCCTTCAATCCATGTAGCTCCCATCTCAGCAACAATATCACCGAGCCAACAAGAATGAATCCGTCCTCCTGGTCTGATATTCTCGTTTTATTAATTTAGATTTAACTTTTTTAAATTACTTATGTATTGGATATGAATTAGGTAAAGACTGAAATTTTAATTGATAAAGTATTTAAAAAATAAATTATACTTATCTATGTGCAGTTAACAATTGAATTATTTTAATTAATTAATTACTGCATTTTTTTAAAAAGTTAAAAACATTTGAGTAGGCTAAAGTTTTATAGCGAATGTAGGCTTTATACATAGATAATCCTTTCAAAACATTTTTCAATAGTATTTTTTTAAATAAGCAATTTTATAAGTTTTATAACTATGAAAAATTTAAATGGATACAAAAATAGGATATTGTTAATTTTATTATTATATTTATTATTCAATTAAAATCTAAGTAATATCTTATAAATAATTTATAATAATATTAAATAATATTAATATCATTAAAACATAAATAAATATTCTGTATATAATTTTGATTATTAAACGTTAATTTATAAATATAATATCGACCAATATAATAAATAGAAATTTTTATCTAAATATTTTTCATTATAAGCAAAAATAGTTACTATTATTAAAAGTTTGATTTTAAAAAAAAATTCTAATTTTATGTATTAATATTGAAAACATATAAAACATAGTCATATATCAAGAACATTAATGAAAATTATATAAAATATTATTATTTAAATTCAATTAAAATAACACTAAATTACAAAATTTATATTATTGGTGTTAAAAATATAACTTATATAATTAATAAAATAAGCAAACCGATCTGTAGCTTCGAGTATTTTAAAATTTTTGAGGCCACATTGTGCAAGTCGATGAGCAGCTGAAAGACCAGCCATTCCAGCTCCAATTATTATAATATTCGGTTCGGGATTGCAAGGATCTAACATACAAGGATCTAGTTGACAAGTATCAAATTTTGCAATCCTTGCACACGGTGGAGCTTCTTTTCCTGAACCACTTTTTGAAGATGTAGCTGACGCTAACCATCTATAAGTTTGAAATTTTTAATTATATTCTATTTGTTTTTAAAATTTTATTATATTCAATTTTGTATATAAATTTTTAATTTATTTACAAGTATTATTAGTGAAGTATAAAAGCACGTGTAAAGTATTTTTAAATTAATGCAAATATATTTATAGATTTTATTTATGTATTACCGTTTTACATTATTGATACAAAAAATATACAAAGTTTTATTTATACATGTTTTAATATTAGCCTATGATTGTGCAAATAGTACATACCTTCTTACATCACCTATAATCGTCCAAATGGTAAATCGAGATCTCGTTTGGAGCATATCACACGGTGAATATTATAGAACAGATAAATTTTTTAAGAAGCTGTCGCTTCATTTATTCACATTAAAAATTTCAATTCGTTCTTTTATAACTAATGTTAAACAGCGTAAAATCTGTCTTTTTTCAAAACAGTCATGGCGCTCAAATCGTTATTCTGTTGTTGAATTTCAAAATTTTCTTTTTAATGAACAGTGAGTGTATATTGGGATTATTAATTTTAATTACATATTTTACTGTTATATAATATAACTTATTAATTTCAAAATATGATGAACAAAATATCTATAGCAAGGACATCGATAACTTATGGAATTAAAAAACCTTATATATATATATATACGGGCAATCGATAGGTATAAGATGGATGGATGTAAGAGCACTAGGTTTATTATAAATGGACAGAAAGTGTGCAGGGAAAGTAGAAATATTCATTAAATAATGTAGTTAAAAAATAAGTGAAGATGATAATGAAGAAAATAATCAATGTTACAAATCAATTCCGAAGTCGGATAACATCAAATTTACATGGCGCATATAGCATGTTCATGTTTAGGTAAGTATGACGATTATCATACATATCAATACAAGATGTATACCGTGACTCTTTACAACTGTATAAATTATCAAATGATAAAATATTGTATTAATCGATTGATACAAATAATCTAAAATCTTTACATGTATACAAATAACTATTCATGTAATTGTTTTATAATCATTATTATTTTATAAATACTTCGATTGAATGAGGTTTATATATTTTACATATCATATGCTAAATATATATAAATTCCTGAATTAGCCAAAGGTTTATAACGAAGGAATTTAGAATTATGTTTAAAATTATTTAAAATACGCCATAATCTTGTGAATCTATTATAAAGCATTGACATAAAAACGTCACTTTTGCTAATACAATCAAAGTATTTATTTATTAGGAAAATGAAAATTAATTTTCATTATAATGAAAAACAGTAGTGAGAATAACTGAAATTTATGATAATGATTATAAAATACCATCAGAAAATTATATACTTTTGTTAGATTACGTTAAGTAAAACATTGTTTCGTTCATACATAAAACAAATTTACCACTATATTTACGAATTCGAAGATAAAATTGAGATTCGATGATAAAAAAGATAACTATCTGAAAATTAATGTCATTAATTTATTGACAGCTTATTAATTAGTTTTCTTATAGCGAATACAACATAGTAAAAAAAAATATATGTAATGATAATAGAAACTGATTTTTGTACTCACAAATTAGAAAATAATAATGAAATAAAAAGTGATAAGTGAAATAAAGATTAATAGAGATCTTATTTATATATAACTTATCTAATATAAAATATAAACATGCATAAAACTTTTGAACTTCAATAATGAATGAAAAAAATTTTTAATTTAATTTTTATTTTTTAGTTAATTTTTGGTTATTTTAACTCTTGAAGTTCAGAAGTATATAATAATGTATGTCTTTCTGGCATTTCAATTTTTTAAACTTTTAAAAAAATTTATTATGCTACAGTTTTAATGATTATGACAAAAGAGAAATAGAAAATGTATACTCTGGGGGGCAGGTACTGAAAGAGTAAAAAAAGTATTATAGTATATATGAGTAGTAATTTATTAATAGTATATCATAGTAAATATATAAATATTGTTGTTAATATAGTTATATATTTTTTGATTGAGAGGTGTAGAACATAATGCGAAGTTATAAATTTAATTACATAATTCCTTTTATAAGTATTTATTTACATCGTAAAAACAAAATAAAGAAAAGCATAAACATTCAAAATTCAAATATATGTATTAATCACTCTTTTTTATTGAAATTGACATTTCAATGATTCGATTTAAAAATTTACAATATAAGAAGCACAATATATTTTACGAATTTTTTAATTTTTAACATCAAACTAAATTTTGAAGTTATAAAAATATCTTTAAAATAAGAATTTTTCAGGTTATATTGCAGGTTATGATTATTATATATTTTATTTAATATATCTTAGCAAAAAAACATAATTTTATTTCTTCATCTGCATCATCCTATAATGTTTTTGTTTTTCTTTTAGCCATATTTTGTATATATGCCCATGGAATAAATATTTTTATTTACTAGCTAATGTTACGCTACTCAATTTTTATCTGTTGACTTTAATAATTGATTAGCTATTTAATATTTTTATTAATTTTTATTACTTTATTTAAAATCATTATCTTAAAACTTTCGTTTGCGTTTAGATCTATCAATTGATTCACCTTAACATCATAATTTTTTTATTATATAGAAAAATATTTATATTTGTAGTTCTATAGTACTAATTTATATTTAGTCTTAACCTTTTAGCTGTGAATAATATTCGTAATTAAATTATTCGAAGGGACAATAGTTCATTTTTGTCCTTTGAGCATTTAAGATACAATGCATTTTAATTTATTTTTTAAATTAATTCTTGTTCATCATTATTACATATTGCGCACTGTAATATTGGCTTCATTTAGCAATTGAATTTTTTATTAACTGTTTTTATACCAACCTTAATATCTTATTTTATTACATTTTGAAATTAAATACCCATTCTTTTAATACATTCCGTAAATATTTTATATACTCCAAAATTCATTGATTATATATATGTGTGTGTGTGTGTGTGTGTGTGTGTGTGTGTGTGTGTGTGTGTGTGTGTGTGTGTGTGTGTGTGTGTGTGCATGTGTATGTATGCATGCATGTATGTATGTATGTATGTATGTACGATCTCAGATTTATGTTTATTCAGTAATTAATTTCTAATAATATGCCATCATGTTTTTTCATTGTAATTCATGCGTATATGCATTTTATTGTTTGTTATGACTCATTTAATATTTAACAAACATGCGACGTCTATCTTCAGTCCGTAAAAGCTATATAACTCTAACTTACCACAATAGCACCCACAATAGATATACAGATAGCCAGCAGAAAGCTTGTATCGGTAAATATGCAACATATTCGATGTTAAGTAACTTCAATTGCCGCCTGTAAGTAACATCACTAAATGTATTCATGTAAAAATATAGTTATATAATATGCATTGAATTTATTATTTATAAAAATTCATATAATTACACATATAATTACATATTAATTATAAATAAAATTATATTAATAATAAATAAAATACATTAATTTCACTATATTTTACAAATACTTATATATATATATATATATATATATATAATAGCGTGAGTTCACATCGCTTAAAGTAAGTATTAACCAATTTGTAATGTAGTATATTAATTTAAGAGAATGAGTCTTCCGTCAGTATTTAGAATATACATCAACACTTTTCCGAAATAGGGTGGGCAGCGTGTAATTTAAATACGCGTTGAACATAAAAGTTTGATTGACTGCTGAATGACATAGTACTATGTTTATGTTTCATTTTTTCTATACAACAATGAAATTAACAGATATGGGCCATAGTTAAAAACAATGCAAGTGAATGATATTAAGTAAATAAAAAGCTCAAGAAAAATAATTTGACAAGTAATATTCATAAATGTATAATTGATGAAAATAATATTTTATTAGTACAAATCATTCGCAGTATAACACAACACTATGACAGAATTTTTATAATACGCCATAGCATATAATTATGTTTTGCACACGTGACTTTTGGCTTTTTCAAACGTGTTTAACAGACTTTAAATAAATAAAAACAGCATATATTTCTTTAAAAAATACTCATTAATAGTATATCATTTCCGATTATCATCTGAATATCTTACATCATCTATCATACAAGAGCTATCTTTCATTTCCACACACAGAAAATTGTATATTATTGTAAAAAATTGTTAATTATTATAGCTTTTATTAAAATTTTTAAGGATTAAAATATACTATCTTTTTATTTTAATTAAATATTTATTTTGAATGTACATTTATTTTAATAGAATTTAAAATAACATATTGAGAAATCTTGACATCTGAAATTCAATTCTATAGAATTCGACTATGTATGTCATCTTATAAATAATTACCATAATTATAATAATTATAACAATTATTATTTTTATTCTTCTCAAACGATAAATTTTTTATAAATCATTTTTTATGCTGACTACCCCACACATCAAATGAAGATAGAATAAAAATATGATAGAAATTAAAGAGCTGCTTAAAAATTATAAATATTATTAACTGACTATTAATAGTATTTATTTTCTTAAAGTTCTTTTATTTATACAGAATTTAAGTTTTTATTTACTATCTCCAACTCTTTTATTCTGGACATTATTGGACTTGACTTCATAGAAGAAATATTTAATTCTTGTTTAACAGCAAGAAATTGCGTATTTAAAAGTAAAACCTCAGTGGTTTGGTTACTTATTTCATTCCAGGCAAACAAAATATCTTCTTGAAGTGAAAAACGACTACAAATTACGAAACGAATAACTAGTTGTTCGTGATAAGTTCCTGGAAGAATGTAGAGTTTTCTTCTTGCCATAAGTCTATCAATAAGTTGCTTCGTTAGAT